AAACCTTTTCTATGTGTTTGTTGCCGTATGTAGTTGACATAAAATGTGAACAGTTGTGTAAAAGGAAAGTAGAAAACACTTTTAGTATCATAAGAATGTCTACAATATGCAATGAGATATTCTAAAGAGGACAAAACTAGTTTACACTATTAGAATGACTCACAGCACTGCTCATCATGGCATCTCATGACAGCTAGAGTCTAAACTGTCTCTTACATGTCACAATAGTTAACACCAGTAACACCATTTCAAAATAAGTTTTGAAGTGCAGTTGTCTGTAAGAGTTTTCTTGTCCTTTGTCTGACAAAAAAATTGTGTTTCCAATACATAGAGCAGTCTATATTTACATTAATCTTATCATTTTCCTCTAGGAATTTACATTAATCTTATCATTTTCCTCTAGGAATTTACCACTATTGGAGTGCATACTGAGCTAGGTGATTTATGGAACCTTGTAGAGTATTTTGTAAATAAATCTACCATTATTATGTTTGTATCCATAAATGGAACTGGACATTGTTGACATCAGACAAGGTGAAAACAAACCTACTAAACATGACCTGAATTTAGGGATATTAAGTAATGATGAAGTTCCTCTTCAAAATGCAAAGCAGTTGCTAAGCTTAGATGACCATGAAAATTTTCCAAGATAAATGCTAAAATGCAGACAGCGAACCATGTTTCTAGAGGTGCTGTATTCCCCTCCACAGCAGCCTGGATGATGCCTGCAGCTCTTTGGGAGAGCTGTTTACTGATCTTCAGTTAGGTACGTAGTCAGGTGCCACTTGCAGACCACTGCAGCAGGGCTATGGCTTCTCAAGGCTAGCTCTACGCTGTGTGCTTCAGCAGCAGAGTTGGTCAGAGGTGTGAAGACAAGATGCGATCCCTGACTGAGATAGCTGTACTGAGGTCGCCTGTTGCAGGTGCGGTTATACAGCAAAGCTATTTCTTAGGGTTTTGGTGGAGCCTAGTGTATTTTTTGGCAGGGCAATGCCAGCAAAATAGACTACAGTGATGTAGTCCTTCTCACATAGGTGTTCGGTCACTGTGCAGCACACCCCAATAGCCTTAATAGGAGATGAAGTTTTAGGTTCCATTGTGGATAGCAATAGCGTGTGGCTGAGCTAGGTCCTAAATTCTGTAGTGCACTCACATTTCTGAAACAGCTTTGAATATGCCACTAAACAGGGGAGAAGAAATTATGTAAATGAAGGCTGCAGTCAATCCATTTTTTCCTTTGTATGATCCCTTTACAGATGGCACCAAGTTCATTCCTTATTGCCCTCAAACTTGGAACGTGTGCAGCGTGCTGCAGATATTTGAAGTGATAATGAATAGCCATGTTGTTAATAACATTACAAGAGAGATGGTCAAAAGGGCAGACAAGCAGGGAATGGCTGGAGCTTGATCAGCAGTGGGGAATGTCAGTATCTCTGACATCAAGGAGGCTGTTACTGCTGAGAAGGCAAAGCAAGATCGAGAACAAGCTTTAACACGCCCTTGGATTCAGGAGAAAGAATAATTTCACACCATTCCTAAAACAAGTGTTTTGCTAGTTTATTTCCTTCATTATTCTCCACTGTAGAATGCTGTGACTTCTTTTTTTCTACACAGTCAATGAAGCATGTTGTAATAGCAATTTACTTTTTTCACCTTCAGGGATTTTTTTCCTTTAGGAAGAAAGGGATCATTTGGCTTTTCACTTGGAAGCAGAAAAAATTGGGACATTGTTCTTTTTTGCTTCCAAGCAAAAATAGAGACTTTACCAAAGGAGAGAATGGATAGCTATTTACACACTCTGTAATGATACTCCAAATAGTTATCGGTTGCTCTTTGGGTTGCATTCACAAAAACATAAAAAATACTCGAACACAGATTGCATGAAAATTAGAATTGACAACTAAATCTTCTTTACATTTCATTATGTAACAATTTGAGTTTCTTAGTTCCTTCTGAAATTGGTGTTTTAAAAAGTATGTCATAGAAAATCTGGATACATTGGTGGTTCTCTAATATATCTATGAATTCAAATTTGCTCTCAGTGAAGTTGTTCATGTTTCTGATTAATCTCAGTGGATAAAAGGATAATACTGTTCATTTACGGGTGTTTATTATCTTTATGTTTTTCTTCTGTAGATCTGTAATTCTCTGTAATGGCATGAAATGGAAGACCAGGTGATATTTCACTGATGTCTTCCTTCCTTGCCAAAATGCTTTTTAAAAAAAATATAGCTTTTTCTAAAAGATTCTTTTCTTATCAGTTTGTATTGAAGAACAGTAAATACTGTGTGTAATTTCTTTCAGCAAATTAAAGCAGATATTGCATTTGGAATATTGGATTTTTTTCTCAACATTCTGAAAATTGTTACTTATCGTAAAAAGAAAGTTCCATATATGAAGAGAGCCCCCAAATCTGATGTGATGACCCTGAGTAGTACAGGCAACACCATCAAGAAGATATGAAAACCTTGATTTCCATTTGAAGAGGTTTCAGTTTATAACCTTTCAGTTTGAGCAGCCTTTTTCTTTGATTCCGTTTTTTATGGTAACTGTAAGGTACTGGATACTGTGTACCCAGCTGGAATTCTGGAGGCTTAGCCTAACCTAGACATCCATCTAGTCTAAAAAACCACACTGAAATTGTGAAACATGGCCTGTGACAATTCTTGTCATCAGAGGCGGTAAAAGTGTTTGGTTTGGACTGTGATGATAGGTTCTGTGAGAGCACTTTTTGCAGCAGTAAGGGATCTGGTTGCCAAAACTAAGACTTAGGCCATCATTTGGTTGTTGCTTCAATGCTCTTGATACTTCTGCTCTTCAGACATGTTTTGGAAGATAGCATTACCTCTTATTGTTGTGTTTTGTAGGGATCCAAATTGTGCTGGAGTTCACTGGCTACAGTTAAAAAAAACCTGAACCATAACCCAAAGACAATGAGGCTTCCCCTGGACCCTGGTCAATCATAAATATTAGAATGGAGAATTTTTGCATGTGCAGTGGTAGAGTTGTCTGACAGAAGTTGACATGACTGTGAACTGCGGATGTCTTCAGAGTCACATAGCTGTTGGGTTGAGGGAAGGAAGAGCTCAGAATCTACAACCTTATAAACCTGAACTCTGCCTAAATGTTGCACAGGATACTGATAGGGCTGTTTGGATCTGTGCAGTGGTCCTTAGAAATCAGGACTCTCTTCTCCCATTGATGCCTGTGCTCTGAAGAAATGTTTACAATGCCTGTTGTGATAGTAACAACTCTTGCAAATGAGAATCACTTCCAGTAGAGCTAATTGTGTTGGAGCCACCAGTTTCTCATGTGAAACATGAACAACATTTGTTACTCAGAAACAAGACATTGGATTTTTATAACCTTACTTGTTCTGTATTCTGAACAGAAGTCTGAATGTAACGAAATGCCATTCATTTGTGGTTTAGAAACAATGCCCTCTATTCTGGAAGTATTTTTCCAAGCCTTATTTACTAAGAGCAAGTCAGAGGACGACAAGTAAAAGTCATTCTTCATTTTAGCAGAACCTCTTGTTCTTCACTGGTCGGTCAACAAAGGAAATCAGCATGCTGAGAAAATACCTGCATGTCATGACAAACCACAGTGTGTTTCAAGTTGCTTTAAAAACACTAGGCAAGTTAGTTTGGTTTCAGAAAAAAACCCTGACCCTACTTCCCTTTTCCTTTAACCAGTGTCCTGTTCACATCTTAAGCAACAAGAACCACTCTGGATGAAAAAAATAGTTCCATGAGTAGTTCAGACAAAACACTGTTTTGGTTCAGCCTTGAGTGAATCAGCTGAGGAGCAGAATTTAATGCTTGCCTCTGCAATCTTCTGAGATGTGATAGCAAGTACTAGTGGTGTACCAGCGAAGCTTTCCAACACCTTAGTGAGCGTATCCTGCTGTATTTCTTTTCAGGGCTTTTGAAGGATTCAAGGGAGAGTGAGTAGATTTCTGTGCACACTAGAACAATAAATGTTTCAGTCTTGCTGAATCTGGGGTTCTGGTAGGAAAAACCCATTATTCCAGAAAATTTTAATCTAGCTCTATTACTGTCGCACTGTCAGCACCAAGTGAACATGGGCAACTCAAAGTGAAAGAAAAAGCCTACTTTCTACTCAGGAATGCTTTGCCAGCTATGATGGAGCCAGTAGCAAATTCTGGTCCAGTCACCAGAAGACACTGGTCTCAGTGTGAGCTAGCCTTGAGTACACGTAAAACAACTCTGCAACACTTTACAGGCATCTCAGATGTTGCTTGCAGATCTCCTGGAAGAAGGAGATCATCTTGGCTACCTATGAATTTTAGACAATGTTTTTGTATTTCATTCTGCGATCCCTCCCTGGTGAAGTTTAGACCAGATATATACCCCAATACTATATGAAATTTCATGCATATTTTGTGTGAAATTTGCAACAAAGCATTGCATCTTTACAGAAATTGCAAGAATTGATGATTACAGAAATGTATGATTTACTTCAAATTCCCAGCCAAACAACAAGCTGTTTCAGTGGACAAAGATTTTCCCTTTATTTGTATTTCACATTATATTCTTTTAGTATTTTATCTTCTGCCCTTACTGTCTTCTTTTTGTTTCAAAATAAAAGATATAAGAGAGAAGTCTTGCTTTAATGAAGGCACTTATCTGTTTTTAATTTTAGGTCAGCTGTAGAGGAGATTGAAGTGTAGCTGCTTCTATATGCTGGATCCTGGCCTCAGACTTCCATGGGCTTTGCAGGCCTGCAGTGCACAAACCTTCAAACGCTTCCTTGCTCACAAAGTGCTTTGTGCACTGCACAGTGTTTGGTAGCTGCCTAGCAAAGAGCTCCACATCGTGGATTTTCTGTTATCATCTGTTGCCTTTTGGGGGAAAAAAAAAAAAGAAACTTTAGGGAATTCTATCTGAAAACAAATGACACTAAGAAATAAATGAAAGGCTTAACAAAATGTCTTCAGAAGTTGCAGTGCTGATTTTGCTTTTTTTTTCATTCAAAAGCTTAAAGGAAAGGGTGATTTTAAAAAAGAATCTCAACCAAGATGCTCATTCCTAGTAAAGCACAACCCTGCAAATCTCTCTTATTCCTACAGTATCCGAGAAAGGGACAGCAATGGTTCCTATGCCCTGTGTCTGCTGAATGATGGAAAAGTACTGCATTACCGTATTGACAGAGATAAGACAGGAAAGCTCTCCATACCGGATGGAAAAAGATTTGACACTCTCTGGCAGGTCTGTTAAATTTGAATCACTTGGATATCTGTCATCATGTTTCCATATAACTCACTAAGGCAGCTTGTTTTACTTTGCTGTGTGACAACATTCTTTAGCTAAACAGCAACATGTTTTGGCAGGTTATTTGTCATATGTTTCCAACTTTATGTGGTTTCTATACATGAAGAAAATACATGTTAATGTAGAAAGCTATGTAAATGTAGAGAGTTTAATCATTTTCAAATGTGATGTTGCAGCTTGGCTGAGCTCAACATTGCTGTAATTATTATTCAGTTAGCTGAACATTCTCTAGAACGGAAGACTGTTTGCATTTGCAAGTGACCATATTCAATAACAGCTATGCTAGGTATAGTATTTTGCTGATGTCCTTTGTGACAGCAATAAGCAGAATTCTAGGAAGTACAAAGGGAATGATTTAGAATGCTGTGTACGTACTGCATTCTTTAGCTTTGAAATTCTCTACCTTCAAGGCTGAAAAAGCATAGTTTGCTGAGGGTTGCCACCAAAATATGTCTGAACCCTGGTAAAGGTTAAGCAGTTAAGGAATGTATAGTTGATTATGCCATAGTCAGTAATAAAACTGAATACTGGAGAAATGACTGCATAAATTGAAAATGCTAAGGGAATTGAAACCCCTGCAAAAGTCTCTTATGTCCTCTTGCTTAAAGTTCTATTAAAACAAGTGAGTCACAGATCTAAAATATGGGTCTTTACTTGCATATATTAATTCTTAGCCTTTCCTGTAAATATCCTGCATATTTCTTTCCTGGAGTCACTGGAAATTTAAAAGCAGCTATGCTGTCTTACAAGTTTTTTGAGTATGTCTGCAACTCTTTCACTCACAGACCCCCTCCTTTCTACCCAAATGCACCGAAGCCAAAATAACAGTAACAAACCTGTAACAAAATGGCATGGAGAGGACAATCCAGGGACACAAATGGCCACAAGTATTGGTGCTATACCTTTATTAGCTGCTTACATTCCATTGTGACTTTGAGGTCCAAAGAAAGCTTTGTGTATTAGGACAATTCCTGCACTTTAGTTATACCCATCTTGAGAAAAAAAAAAAAAAGGGCAGGAACTCGGAGGTATAAAAAGAAGTGATTTGCTTAGTAGCAGAACCAGGTGTGGAATGCTGAGTCTTACAAATCCAGTTCCTGGATCAGGTTCCAGATTCATCCACAAGCTTACTTCAGAAACATGCGCCCCTGCTAAAGAGAAGTACAGATGAGGTAAGAACATGTGCAGCAAAGATCTGCTGCATGACCAGTTCATTTGCTATAATATATACCAATTATTGTATATATGCACACAATTTTAAAGAGACATTGTATTTAATTATACCTCCCTTACCTTTTAATATCTTTTTCTCTCCTTCTCTCTGTTTTTTTTTTCCCCTCTCATTCTGGTAGTTAGTTGAGCATTATTCATACAAACCAGATGGATTATTAAGGGTTCTTACCATTCCCTGTCCACAAGTTGGCTCAGAAAATGGTGAGTTATTCTTATTATTTTGATATGTATAAATAGCCATACTAATGATGATAAAGATGTGTGCATTTTTTCCACTTGTCATGTAGGTGGGTGCAGATTATGGTAGATTAAAGTTGGATAAAAAAAATTTAAATGTTACATTTCCAACTTTTTAAATGAGTTAAGATCTGCCAGACCATGCAGGATGGAGGCAGATCCTGTAGCTTAAGGGAGGCTACCAACTCCCGGTTATTGCTGGCTCTAAATTAATGTCAGCTCCAAAATGTGCTTTGCTGCTCAAAGTGGCAGTGCATGTTATGTGGCCTGTGCACGCTAACAAGGTGGTCGTCCCAGCACTCCTCCAAGGGTCCTTAGTCGAAGCTGAGGCCAGCACGTCAGCAGTGCTGCTATAGGCATTCAGGTTGGGTGCAGTGAGAGGCACGTCCAACAGGTGAGTTGCTGGTAGATGAGGAGTTACTTCCCATGTTGGGGAGAGTAGGGCAGAACAAGGGATTAGCTGCACCTGATGCTGAAAATGGGGGTCAAAGAGGCATTCCTTGATAATTAGGAGGAGGTGGGGGAGTGGGGAGTGTCCTGAGGTCCAGTATGCTCTTTGGCCTGTTTCCTCTTTAATGTCATGTTAAATACCAATGAGACCTTGTCCTCCCTCTTGCCCTGACTTCCAGGGGAAAAAAAAGTGCTTCTGCCTGATCCTTGTCGAACTTGTGCTATTCCAGAAGTCATATTCTCTCTCTAAGGCCTTCCTCTGTCATTCTGACTGGATGCCAGTGCTATGGTGAGAGGATATGCCCGTACTTTTTCTGCTCCTTTGAATCATTTAGGCACTGCACGTACTTTTGTCTCTGTGGCAGCAAGTACCAGAGCCTGCTGCACATTAGAGACAAAAGCAAAGAAGATGGGCCAGGAGAAACACTGTAGTATGATCTAAAAACTAGAAAGTTGGTCCCCTATGTAAAACTTTGTGTTCTCACAGTACATTTCTCACTTTTCTCAGCATCCTTCTCTACTTGATTCTTTTACAGATAATGTTGGTTTTAACACTCTTCTTCCTCTTCCTGGAACCCCTTCTAAGGTAAGAGTAGGTGGTGATATAGCAGTAGCATTCATTTCAGAAGGCTTACAGTCACATACTGCTCTAGGAATCCTAATGCTTGGATATTATTGCAACAGTGAATTTGTTTTTCTAGGGTTATAAACAGTAAATTGAAAAGAATAAGTTTAACATATTCTAGCATGGTTATTGCTTTCATCAGTGTTTTGCATGAGCTGTTCATCATTTAATTTTGTGAACTTCTTTTATAATGTATGTGAAAATCAGTATTTTTCATCTGTGAAAATGCCTCATAGATGGTCATGGTCTATAGTGACTGTGTCAACACTAGGAGGAGAGATACTGCTTTGTTTACATTGTCCATTTTGAGTATCTGCTGACAAGCAGAAATGGAGGTTCAATTTATTCTCATATTTGGTATGTGCAGTTAACATCAGACTTGGCACAAGGGTTTGATTCCTTGTGCAGTGAAATTAGGGGAAGTTCTTTCATCAAGTGAGCAAGCCCATCTGTGATTATAATTGGCTAAGTTCTTAGAGTCCATTGATCAGAGGAGCCACCTGAGGTGTGATACATAACACCATCTCATTCAGCTGTAGCTGATCTCATCTGAAATAGGGAGTTTAATTTAGTTGTTTCACCACTCCCTGGAGAGCCTAATCATCTAGGTCATTATCTTGATGCAGACCCACATTATAGAAAAAATATTTTTGTTCAAATAGGCAATTAGATTTATTTCAGTACTGTTGAGTCCCTGTGGGTCCATGAACAACCATTCTCATACCACGGCTTTCTGAAAATCAGGTGCCCTTTTAAATCATTGGAAATTATGCAACCAAAATCAGTGCCTTTTTTTTTTTTTAAATGTTGTCCTAAGGTTTGCATGTATGCCATTTACAAGGACGACTGTGAAGTTTAAGCACATGATGGATAGAAGGAAAAGCAATGGAGATATGAGTGAGATGTGTTGAGTGCATATTTTGCAAATATTCTCCTAAAATATACTTTAAAGCTACAATATGTTTGGCATTCTGAACTTCTTAAAACTGAAATCTGAATTTTGTATATTCTTTAGGAGTTTTTTTAAAAAAGCCTGTTAAGTTAGTTTCAGTATAAACACAAACATAGAAAGTGAAAAATTTTAAATTAACATTATTATTTATGGAGTGCAAAGACTTCAGTTAATATTGCCAGGTTCTCATACATTAATATCTTTGTGCAAAAGTGGTAACTCACTAAAGACCACTCATGTTGCTTTTTTAATACGCAGAGCCTGAAATACAGCAAATTCAGATTGCAAAACCAAAAATGCATCCTGAAAAGAACAAACACAGTCACAAAGTCTTATGTAGATAGATGTGCAATCTATCTTCACATTATTTACACCATCTTAATTAAGATTTAAATGTTTCTGACATTTCTGAAGTACTGCATCTTTTTTTATTTTACAAAGTGGATTGCCAGAATATGTGAGTTGGGATTGTGAATGTTTGAATTGGGACTGAAAGTAATTGTGATGAATTGGAGAAGTATCCTGGAAGAAACAGGGTGAAATTCAGTAGAAGTGCAAGATATTGCACTTCTAATAGTCAGATGTAGAACACAGGATGGGGAGCAGCAACAATTTTTCAGAGGATGTGATGCCTGTAATGGATCAGAACAGGAACAAGGACCAGCGATCATCATGCTGGTAGAAGAAAGGGGAACATCAAGAGTGTTTCCAGCTTGTTCAACACTGGTAAGGTCTCAGCCGGAATACTTTCACCAGTTTTTGGCACTGCACTGAAGAATGTTGAACAGGAGATAATCCAGAGCAAGCCAACAGGAATGATCATGACTTGTGAGAAAAGATTGATAAGAATAAAGAAGCAAAAGAGAGAGAGTAGAGGGACAGAACAAGATTAATGGCTGAAGAAAGGAGGGGAATGGCCTGTTCTGAGGGACAATCTAATACTGGTGTTTGCATCCAGACCAATTTTTCAATAAATTTTTATTTTCAGATATATTAATGCCTAAAATACACTGGTGAGATTCCAAAGCCTTAGTGGGGAGCATGCCCAAATCTGAAGTTGCTTTGAAGCTAAGAAAGTGTAGAACCACTGTAGAAAGATCTGCTGGATAATATGCAAGGCAGACTGTCCAACTCATTTAACTGCAAACTGTTGGTGTGTAAGGGCTTGGAGTAAAATTTACAACATCAGGAAGGGATTTGTGTAGTATTTGCTAATGCTCCAAGAACAAACTTAGAATGACAAAATGTTGCTGTTTCTTGTCCCCTTTTCTGTGATCTGGAAATCACCTTTTTAGTGATACTAATATGCTTCCTCTGCAAAAGGAATGACTTTCTGCTGACAGTCTGTATTGGAGATAATTTCTCCATGCTAATTATGGAGGGTTACTCCTTCTTACTTCTCTCAGAACATGTATGGACTAGGACTTTTCTTGCCTTTCACCAGAGGCTCCATAACTAGATTTAAGGTGATTTTGATCCCCTTTGACTTTGTAAATTACTTTTTTCTCCCTGCACATCATCCCAATATGTATTTAAACCTGCAGAGGAGCTCTTGGTATGAGCCTAAAATCAGTTGTTGACATTACAGTGAAGCTGCCAACTTCTGGCCACTTCCCAAATTCTCCACTTAACCTTTTTCAGTATTTTATTTGTTTAGCCACAGTTTATCAGATAGTAATAATGGACATAAACCTTATGAGTACAGCCTAACTTTAGGCTAGTACTGTTGCTGCCCCTGATTAAGTGTTCCTTATAGCATGCATTTGTATGTCTAATGCAAACAATTGAGGTAAGTAGTATTACCATCAAGGCATTACAGGTGGCTGCTTGGTCAAGTGCTGGGAGCTGCTCTTGTCATGAGCAAAAGAGCACTTGAACCATTAGAGAATTTCTCTGTTGCAAAGCTATAGCTAAGAAGTGCTTGAGGTTTCATGTATTCCTGATATGGAAAGAGAATTTTGAGAGGTAAAAGAAAATAGCCAATTCAGTAAGCTTTTTCAATATGCAGTACCTGAATTTTTATCTAGCACAGCTATGAAGACTGTCAAGCATCAAAAAAGTTTCTGTTCTTCCAGCAGGAA